CTTGGTTTAACATTATTTTTTATTGTATTATCTTGTGCATAAAATTTACTTATTGATTCACTTTTTTACTGTGCATAAAATTTACTTATTGATTCACTTTTTTACTGTGTATAAAATTTACTTATTGATTCACTTTTTTACTACAACGGTTTTTTTTTTCATAGACAACATATTTTGTTACGACAAGGTCAAGATACAATACTGAAGAGATTGATGAAATGGTGCGTTTTAATAAAAGTATTCACAAAGTTTCCGAAGATTTTATTTACGATTCGGCGGATAACGTACATCATTTACGTGATGCAGAAGAATTTGAAAATATTGGGTAAATATATTTCATTGTCGATAAATCATTTATTATGTTGTGATATCCAATTTAATTTTTTTTTGTTATCCCCATTTTTTTTTAAAAAGTCCCTTTCGTTCATTTTTCTAATTAAAATTTTTTTTTACATTTTTAATAATTCATTTTACAGGAATTCAAGACGAAGACGACGACGAGGTCAAATGGGTGATCCAGATGAAGATTATGATGAAGATGAAGAAGAAATACGTCGACCTATTAATCAGAAATCAAATTCTTATAGTGGACCTGTAAATGAAAAATATTCTAGACGTCTTAGTTTCCATCAAAGTAATAGGGGTCCGAGTTCTACGAATGGTGACGATAGTCCTTATTTGCCAGATGAACGACCTAATGAGTTAAATAACGAATTGGAAGAAATTTCATCCGATGATTCTGATTCATCAGAATACGGTGATCATACATTCCTGGCGAACGATACTGTTGAAACTGAAACTCAAGATCATATGGATAATCCTATGTTAAGTCCTAATGCTTCACAATTATCTCATGATATGCAAAAGGAGAGAATGGAATGGCAAAGTTTTTTGGCTTCTGTACTTACCGGTGAGGTCATTAAATCGGAGAAACGTCGTCTGTCTGGCTCTTCACGGCAGGCGTCTAACATTGCTTATCATATATGGTTCCAAATAAATACGACATTACGTCGTTTGCCTAGTGATTTAAACGAAAGTCGTCGACAAATTGATAACATTCTTAAGGAAGTTATAGATTTTGAGGTTAAACCTGATGGTGTACCAGCTTTTGATCAAGTTGTTGAAATTCTACAAAAAGTTGATGTATGTGAAAGTCTTTATCCTTCTCGTAAAGCAATGATGGCAGATAAACCTTTATATGAATCACTAGAATTTCAAAACAATTTGGATGCTTTAAATTCTTGGCTTACTGTGACTAGAAGTTTTCAAACTCAATTAAAAATTTTGCAAAACTGGACCGGAAGTGATGATTTAGAAATTACCAGACCTAAGGATGCTCCAGCTGATGCTGAGAATCCATCTTTTCTTGAACGAATATTAAAAGAAAATAGTTTAAAACAGACATTTGAAAAACGAACACTCGCCACGTTAACTTCTCTTTTATTAAAAGCTAAACGTGTTATGATTGAAAATGCTGTAATATTTGAAAAAATGAAATTACCACCTTATATTGATGAGTTACCACAACTTTTAAATTTCCCTACAAAACTTATGAAAGAGTGTATGAAACTTTTACTTGAATACGCTAATATTCTTAATGATCCTACAGCGATGATGGTGCAACAGATGATGGATGATTTTCAAATTTCCCTTTCTTTGGCTTGTAAGATAAAACGTCAATATTTTGAGCTTGTTAAGCCTACAAATGGATGGATAATACCATCTTCTATTGATGAAAATTATGATACTGTGTTATTAGAATCATTAAAATTTTATTTCACGTTATTACAATTAAAAGTTAAACCTGGCTTTAAAACAGTTTTCTTTAAAGAAGCGGAAATTTTAGATTCTGAATGGGCTTTTTTGAGTGGAATTTGTCGCCACATTGCAGGTGGTGAGGCTGAGACTGCCGAACAATTTTGGTAAGTGGTTTCACTTGAAATATTATTAATATTATTGGTAAAATATAAGTAGGATATATTTTGTTGGCTAGCATTATATATTTTCTATACTCAAAAGAATGATTTATTTTGAGGAGTATTTAAAATGATATGAAATGAGTGATTAAAGTAATGCTGGTGTTGGTTTTTTTTTTTTTTTTCAAATTAGAAATTTCCAATATCAAGAAAGTAAACGAAACATTTACCAATTTCTCACCATGTTTCAACCAATTTTATAGCATGCTTACGAACAAATTACTTCAAGGTATCACGAGTTATTTTGATTCAGAATTGGATCGTGTACCTAATGATATCGATTGCGCAAACAAATCGAAAATGTATAATAAAATCTTGGACAGTGTACGATTGAGATCTCGAAAATTGATGCGTTTCACAAAGTATACATTCATACATTTATACATTCATACATGTGTTTTGATATTTCATAGCTCTGCGTCTAAATTATCAAATATTGATTATTTATTGATTATTTCTAAAAAAAAATTTTTAAATTAAAACGATGATCTTGTATAGATCCCTTTTAGGTGAACTTGAAAATGCAGCAGAATACCATATAGATGATACGAATTATCCTTCTTTCATAGAAGAATTGGAACGTACTAATCATGTTCTTGTATACCCTGATACTTTTAATGATGATGGAGTATGTTTCATTGTTGAACCTTCTCTTAATGATCGTCCTGAGCAGATACAAAAATTGCTCAAATCTGTTCTTACTTCTTATGATAAAAGACCTGATGATAAAAGATCCGATGATAAAAGACCACCTGATGATAAAAGGCCTGATGATAAAAGACCTGATGATAAAAGACCTGAAGATGATAGTGAGATAAAAGGTCTTGAATATGTGGTCATATTATCACCCAGAGTTAGTTTTGAATGGAATGGTATTGTCATGGCTGTGTCAATGGAACAATTTAATCTTGACCTCAAACCTCATCATACCAGATTAGTGGCAGATGGGGCAGACCGATTACAAGCGTGTAAACAACGTTTTCGTAAATCGGTAGATGATTGTTACATTAAAATGTTATCGGAATCACGACCAAATGTTCCTGATGTTAATCATGAAGCATCAAAACTTAAAAAGACAATTTTTAAATTAGTTAATAAAATAATTGATAGTGTTAACACAATACGTAATAGGACAAGGAATGGAGAATGTCAAGACTTAATTGAGAATTGTTTCAGTTTTGCTACCGAAGTTGGACAACGCGCACTTCGTTATATTCATCGTGATGCTTGGCGTGTCCAACTGAATGTCAAGTTGACACGAATGTCTATTGATTGGGTTAGTTTCATATGTGATGATTGTGTCCCTACTGATCGTAAAACCTTCCGATGGGCCGTGATCGCTTTAGAATTTGCCATGGCAACTAATCGTGGGAATAATATTTTGAATCTTTCCGAATCCGAATTTGCCATGTTACGTAGTAAAGTTGGTATGTGTATGAGATTATTCATTTCTCACGTAGATATTATGGGAGCAAGACAATCATATGAAGCTCAAGAACAACAACGTCAAGGAACTATTGGAAGTAATGATATGGGACAATCAATTGTTCAACAAGTGAAGAAATATCGTGGACAAATACATAATGGAGAATGTGTTAATGCTACACAAGAAGGATTGATAGCTGCAATACGTCAATTAGAATTCAAGCGTGCACAAAAGGAACAAGAACAACGACTTGTTGGCAAAGTTCTTGAAGAAGATCAACAAAATCGACCACTTGTTTTCTTGGCATCATCTAGTTCTAATATTTCACTTCGTTGGCAACAAGGAAAATTTATAGGTGGAGGTACTTTTGGATCAGTTTACCTGGCAGTAAATTTGGATACTGGTGATCTTATGGCTGTTAAGGAGATTCGATTTCATGATCCTAGCTCACTTACCAAACTATATAAACAAGTTAAAGATGAAATGTCTGTTATGGAAATGCTTGATCATCCAAATATTGTATCGTATTATGGTATTGAGGTGCATAGAGATAGAGTGTACATATTTATGGAATACTGCTCAGGTGGATCTTTGGCATCTCAACTCGAACATGGGCGTATTGAAAATGAGAAAGTAGTACAATTTTATGCATATCAAATGTTGCAAGGGTTAATGTATTTACATGAACATAACATAGTACATAGAGACAT